CGTGTGTGTGTGTGTGTGTGTGTGTGTGTGTGTGTGTGTGTGTGTGTGTGTGTGTGTGTGTGTGTGTGTGTGTGTGTGTGTGTGTGTGTGTGTGTGTGTGTGTGTGTGTGTGTGTGTGTGTGTGTGTGTGTGTGTGTGTGTGTGTGTGTGTGTGTGTGTGTGTGTGTGTGTGTGTGTGTTAGGGTGTTCCAAAAAAAGGCGATAACTTTTTTTTTTTCAATTGCATAAGAAATTCTTGTTATATATGCTATAAAAAAATTTCTGTAAAAATTTGAGCCCTTAATATCAACTTGAAGAACTCCATCACCGAATTTGAAGATTTACCATTGATTTAACATGGAAAAATGATTTTTTAACCTTCATTTCTCCTTCAAACTATGTAGAACATTATTTTTCGGGAAAACCATCACTGATCCTTCTTCAGTATTAAATTCTGTAAAAAAAGCTCTTAGAATCCAGTCTCTAATGTCAACCCTTTCGTTTTTATTTGCGTTAAGAAATATCGATTTTTCGAAATTTCGATTTTTTCCATTTAATGTGTAAAATTTTGATCTTAGACCATAAAGTTTGAGGAAATTTTAGTAGATCGTTCAATGTTTTACCAATCTGTGCCAAGAAAATTTTTTGTATCAATTCTGGCTCCAAAATTGTGAGGTTTGCAATATCTATTTTAATGATTACTAGGAATTTAAATTGCGCGCATACGCGCGCGCTTTAATTCTGAACGTTATTTCGATACTAAGCTAACTTCAATCTAAATCTCAACCAATAAGGAATCAGGGTCCAAGTTTTCGATACTAAGCTAACTTCATTCTACCATCAATTTTAGTATATAGGATTCGCTATAATAATAAATTTTACAAAAAATTTTAAAATCTATCAACAAAATTTCAAAATTTCTTTATGACAGTCAACAAAACGCTGTATTTACGCTTCAATCTTTCAATTTTTTAATCTTTTTTCATTAAATATAGGGGAAGGTGGGGCACAGCCCACTTGGGGTATAACGGCCCACCTCAAAAATTAGGTAAAAATTTTTTTTTCATTTTCTGTCAAACATTGACTTCTATGATATTTTTATGATATTTTGAACCAATATGTGATATGTGTGGCATAATGGACCACTCGTGAAAAAAAATTGAATCGAAAAAATTATTTTTTTTTTTCGAATTGTTAGAAATTCAAAGAATTAATTTTTTTAAGCCTTTTCAGGTCAATGGTATTTAACATGGATTAGAAAAAAATTTTGTTGAACTGAAAAATTTAACAAAAAATTAAATTCTATAGCTCGTAAAAAATTGAAAAGACAGTTTTTTGAAATTAAAACACTAATTTAATTATATTATTAATTATTGATCACGGTATCCTCTGCGTCAGGTAGAAACCCAATCTCAACGTCCTATTTAAGTTGCTCCAAAGATGTCTTACTCTACGCAATTTATATTTCTGATTATAGCTTGAAAAAAATGAAAAAAAAAGACCTGGTTCAAGATATTACGTACTTTAAAAGCTCAGTCTGAAGACTTAAGAATTGCTGAATACCATCTCTGTTTTTAGTAGATTTCATAAAAATCTAACTATTGTATTTGTCCTCATGACGCAATTTTCGAAAAATTTTGTTATATTCCGACATTATTCGACGAGCTGAGTCAGAAAATACATATGGCTGAAAAGTTTATATGTGTATGATGTATTAGGGTGTGCCAAAATGTAACTTCCTTGAGGGACCTCTTAAAATTGGAATTTTGAGTTCCGCTTTAAAAAGCAGCTCTGTTGAAGTCTTTCCTAAGATATTTTGGGGTAAGACGATAGATTTGATTTTCATAGAATTTTTTAACTGGAGCTAAGTTAGGGCACTTCCACTGAAAATTCAAATTTTTGCCGGAAGTGCCCAATTAAACCTCCTGCTAAAAATTCTATGAAAATCAAATCTATCGTCTTACCCCAAAATATCTTAGGAAAGACCTAAACAGAGCTCCTTTTAAAAGCGGAACTCAAAATTCCAATTTTAAGAGGTCCCTCAAGGAAGTTACATTTTGGCACACCCTAATA